CTTCATGGCATTTCCTTGTTTGAACGACATCCAATATTGTTACACTTATTGTAATATTTCCGATCATAGATTCACAAGGGAGAGAAGAGATTGCATCTGAATGAATACATACATTTAATGGTCCAGGCTTCCCCTATTAATTTTCAAAACATAAATCAATATAACCGAACAAAAAAAAAGGAGAAAAACTGTTCGATGTGTTGATTCAAGTGAACCTGTCACAAACCTTGGCAAATCAAAACATGAGCAGGTGTCAGGAAACCAGGTGTTACCTCTCCTCGGGGCCAACGGGTACGGTGCAGGGCACAGAGTCTCCCCCAGCCTGGTAGAACTCCTGGTGTCGGCGTTGCAGGTGCGCATGCATGAGATGCGCGACGGACGTGCGCGGTACAAGGCTGCGCATTCCCAGGGGGCGCGCGCATAGCGCCTGCGCCCATTAGGACTATCAGGTGTGGGCCTTGCTGGGGGAGGGTCCCAGCATGCACCTTCCATTGGTCCCCAGGGAGGGAAGCCTCCTGGTTGCCACGGTAACCAAGGGGTGGTCTTACATCCTCTGGCTATAAAATCCTGGTCAGAGCCCTGGCTTGTTGCTGAGTTATTCCACCATATGGTGTGATCGCCTAGCCTCTCTATTTGTGAATCTTGCTGTTGCTCCCTCATCTGGACTTCCTGCTTGCTGACCCCTTGGACTGATTCTGAACCTCTGCTTCCCGCCTCAACCCGGATTGGACCTTGACTACCCCCTTGGATTGCCCTTTTTGTACCTCGCTCTCGGATTTTCAGGCAACTTCCTGCCAGTGGGTTCCACTCCATGCTGCCAGACCATAAGCACATCTGACAGCAGGCAAATCAAGAGATACAGGCAGCCAAAGATACTGTATATGCAAATCTTGACTTTTCCTGATGAGCTTGGCCTGGGCCGCTAATATATGACCATGCACATCATCTCAGAGGGAGGAAAATGCCTTTCCCGAGATCTTGTGAGATTAAAGATGAGATTTCCCAGCAATGTACTGCTGATGTAACCTTCCCAGGCTGCAACACTTGGACACGATTACATCATTTGTGCCAAAGAGGACCAGGAAGTAGAAAAAAGCAATTGTTAGAAAAAAATAAAAATATATTTATTTAACTAATGAATGTAAGATGATTTCATATTAGCATGCAGAGGTGCATACTGATGTGATTTTTAGTGAAAGGGGGTAAAGGTCTGCTTTAAAAGAGAAATATGTGGTAAGTGTTTTCCCCCGTAGTTCTCTTAAGGGTCACAGGAAGACATATACTAGCATCCTCCCGTGACCCAAAGCTCAGTATATCGCAAGCTACAACTCATGGTATACTGAGACCGCTGGAGCCGGGACTGATCCCGACATTACTGTCGAGATCCACCCAGCTGCGTGAAAATCACGAATCCTCACAGTTCGAGCCGACGTGTGAAAATGAAACTGTCACACGTCGGCTCAATAGATCAAGAAGTAAGCGAACACATAGCGTTGCTCGCTCACTTCTCGATCATCTCCCTGAGAGCAGTGACGGTCACTCACCGCTCCCCACAGGGATTCCCCCCTCCCCGATCCTCCAGTGCTAACTGGAGGAACAGACGGGGGAGGGGGCGGGCAGAGCCCGCTGTCACTCCTGCAGCTGGGTGGATCTCGACAGCATTGTTGAGATCCATCCCGGCTGTGGCGCTCTCAGTGTACCGTAAGCTGTAGCTTGTGATATACTGAGCTTTGAGTCACGGGAGGAGGTTAGTATATGTTCTAGAGCTGCAACAACTATTTGATTTAGTCGATTAAAATCGACGATGGATCTATTAAATTGCCTGTTCGTGGCTCCACACATGAGCTGCGCACGCCGTGGTCCAGCCCCCGGCTCTCCTCAAATCCCGGCGCTCCCTACATCTAGCCGGGTCGATGCGGTCACATGACGGGTGCCGGGGATGTGAGCGCGACAGGTGTCAGCTGGGGGATGGAGACGATGGATAGGGACGCGCTGGTATCCAGGCTGAACCGGCGGCTGCGGATGGGGAGAGGGAGCAGCCCAGCATGAGGGTCTTCAATCCCTACACCAAGTTTAAGGAGTTCAGCAGATCAAAGACATGGAGGGAATGTTCAGACAGTAAGTGGCCCGAAAACCCCGGAGCCTGGAACCCGACACCGTGCACCCCAATCCACCATCATACCCATCCTCTGCACCCCATTCCACCATCATACCCATCCTCTCCATCTCTGCACTCCATTCCACCATCATACCAGTCCTCTCCATCACTGCACTCCCTTCCACCATCATACCCATCCTTTCCTTCCCTGCACTCCATTCCATCATCATACTCGTCCTCTGCACCCCATTCGACCATCATACCCGTCCTCTCCATCCCTGCACTCCATTCCACCATCATCATACCCATCCTCTCCATCCCTGCACTCCGTTCCACCATCATACCAGTCCTCTCCATCCCTGCACTCCATTCCACCATCATACCCATCCTCGCCATCCCTGCACTCCATTCCACCATCATACCAGACCTCTCCATCACTGCACTCCATTCCATCATCATCATACCCGTCCTCTGCAGCCCATTCCACCATCATACCCATTCTCTCTATCCCTGCACTCCATTCAACCATCATACCCGTCCTCTCCAATAACACCAGCTATAGAGGAATACATCAGATCCCAGCAATAATACAATTATATTACAGCGGCGCAATGCAGAATACCAGCAGCTACAGAGGACTACAAATCCCAGCAATAGTACATTATAGCATAATGTACTATTGCTGGGATTTGTTGTACTCCTCTATAGCTGCTGGTATTCTGCATTGCGCTGTATAATGTACTATATTGCACACCACACTTTTTTTTTACTTCCACCGCGCCAAGCTTACTCCCGTCATGGGCAATCTCAATACAAACTAGTAGTCCATCACTGGAGCCTTTTTTTTTTTAAATTTTATCCGATTAACCGATTAATTGAACTTAACAATCGGCTAACTAATCGATTTTGAAAAAAATCGTTAGCTGCAGCCCTAATATGTCCTCCCGTGAGAACTATGGGGGAAAAACACTTACCTCATAGCTCTCTTTTAAACGCACCATAAATGCATCCCCATTTATTTCTATGGTATTTTAAGGCTGTAGTTCCCACCAGTGCAAAAAAAAAAAGTACTGGAGGCACAATAAATTCTGGTCTGGAATGCACCGGAACGCATGTAAAAAATACTACTGGTCACCTTTGATAATCTAAGCAACATTGTACACAGCCTTTATGGAAAAGGGCGTTTTCCCCTGCACATTGGTGCCCTTAGCTATGTCCTCTGCGTCCTGCAAACATGGCGGACAAACATAGGCTTGTCACCGATGTACAAGAATGTCCTGAGCTTTATGACCCAAAACACCCAGGATTATCACACAGTGTCGAGACGATGCCTGCATTCCATGGCTCCATGTTTGCTCAACTCCTGTACTCCAGCCAAGGTCACAAACATGTGAAAAGCTGAGAAGAAGCAGGAAATTACCCAAGAAACTTAATCTGCATACTTACTTACATACTAAAAAAAACCCACACACTTGCTCTGGTGCGCGCATTCTATTAGATGGCTCTGGTACGCGCATTCTATTAGATGGCTCTGGTACGCGCATTCTATTAGATGGCTCTGGTACGCGCACTCTATTAGATGGCTCTGGTACACGCATTCGATGGCTCTGGTACGCGCATTCCATTCGATGGCTCTCATACGTGCATTCGATGGCTCTGGTACGCGCATTCGATTCCTCTGGTACGCAGATTCGATGGCTCTGGTACGTGCATTCGATGGCTCTGGTACACGCATTCGATTCGATGGCTCTGGTACGCGCATTCGATTCGATGGCTCTCGTACGCGCATTCGATTCGATGGCTCTCGGACACGCATTTACATAAATCACTGCCCTCAGATACATTCTTATCTATTTTACTGACCGCAACGGAACGCAGGCATTGATTTGCCATGCTGCGATCCGGTGCAGGCGATTGCACCGCGGTGCCATTAACTATAATGCACCACCACGCCCCCTCCCACCCCAGAACGCAGTGAGCAGGCCGGGTTGCAATCCAGTGTGTTCCAGCACTAAATCGGCCGGAACACTGGAGCTGATGTGAACTAGCCCTGAAAGTTAAAAAAAATATACTTTTTATTTAATAGAAGGAAAAAAAAAGGTATCAAAATCATGTTTTTATGGGGGGGGGCCTTAATGGTTTCTTGCACCGGGGCCCTGGCGTTTCTAGTTACGCCTCTGATCATTGCCATGTATCAGTGTGCATCCAGCAATGTTGTACAATGCAAACTTTCCAGACCACGTGACCCAGCACCTGAGTGACCTTCACCTGGCGAGTCACACACACAGTGGGCGCTCAGCCCGCTTCGCTATCCCTCATTCACTGTGAGGTGGGTCTACAAGCACGCCAAGCCTCCTCTTCTCTTCTCTTCTAAAGGCTGCCGCTCCTTCCATCCCCTCCATAAACAGCACAGCCGTTGATTTTCAAATAAAACATTTTCTCCGCTCCGCTCCTGCTTTATAGACACACGGCTCAGACGTCACGAGGGCTTTTGGTAACTTTAACTGTTTCACCACACAGCCTCCTTTCCCGGAGATGGCCTTATCTTCCACGTCTATACAGGTCTCCGGGCAGTCACGGGTTAAGCTGGGACGCATTCATCCCAGCAGCCAATGGCTGACGAGCGGTGGGCGGAGTACGCTGGCTCAATCCGGGTACTGTGCTGAATGGAGAGCTATACCCCGGGGTGTAGGCAGTGGGTTGGCGCATGCGCAGAATGGGCTCTCCGTCATCATCGTAGAGAAGAGAGAGCGACGCTCAGGGGAACAGCAGCTGTAGAAGCCGGAGCCTGGGGAGCGAGCGTCTGGCCGGCTCCTCGGCGTCATTAGCCCTCATTTCCCATACTCGCCTCTCCCCCGGGAGATTAACAAGCCATTGCCGGCTCGTTTCTCGACTCCCCTAGCAGCCATTCGGCTCGTCCCCCCTCTACCGCCCACCCGGAGCTGCCTGAGCCGAGCTGAGAGCCGTAGTGTGTGCGTGGAGGTGCCCGCAGCGCCGCTGTCACCATGGGATGTACACTGAGCGCGGAGGACAAGGCGGCGGTGGAGCGGAGTAAGATGATCGACAGGAACCTGAGAGAGGATGGAGAGAAGGCTGCCCGGGAGGTGAAGCTCTTATTGCTCGGTATGTCCGTCCATCGCATCGGCGTATGTATGTGCCTTCTGTGTAATCGGCCGATATGTGTAAGCAGCCGCATTCCTATAGATCATAGAGATCAGAGCCCATTGACCCCCCTCCTTCCCCAACCACCACCCTCACTCATCCCTATTGTCATGTCAGGCCTGCATCCTTCCACACTGCATGGCGCTGACAGCTGCCGGATCGGGCTGTGATTTACAGCCAATACAAAGGGTGCGGCATTGGCTCCTCTTCATCCCAATTATAAACATGCCTGATTCTGCAGGAGACTCAATCTATAGCACACGCATAGGGTGTGGTGTGTGCACTTCAATGGCATCAATCGTGCAGTGCATCATACAGGTTTAATTGCAGAATTCACTCCTT